AAGCCGCTCCCATCCTGCTCCCCTGGGATGAAGTTTTCACTAAACTTCCTTAGGCTCAGGAAACAGTCACTGTTTTCTTATCTCCTTTCAGGGAACAGGGACCTTCCCTTTGGTAGGGATGTACACACACACACACACACACACACACACACACACACACACACACGCACGCACACTTACAGAGCAGACCCCCAGTACCTTCCCTGCCTCCTTAACCCCTAGCATGGCACAGAGTCTCCAGGACAACTACCACTAATCTCTGGTGGAAGGGAGAAGGAGGCCCTGTTAGTGGAGTCTGACTCTGTGCAGGTGAGGGACCAGGGAGATAATGCTTACAGTCTGTACAGGTGATTCGAGGTTCTTCCCAGTGCCCATTGGGCTGGCACCGGATGGTGGGCACATGGCGCTGGACAAAGCCCTCAGTACACTGGTACCGCACCAGGGAGCTGATCTCATATCGGTCCTTCTTCTGCCCGAGGGTCCTGGCATGCTCTACCACTGGGGGGTCTCCACAGGCCACTGAGGGACAAATGTCTTTTAGGAAGGGGTTTCATGAAGTCTTCTGTGATAGCCCATGTAGGCAGAGACAAGGTTAACCCAGAGCCCAAGGTATGATGAGAAAGAGATCAGGTTGTGCTTCTCATCCTGGACAGTGGTGTGTGTGTGTGTGTGTGTGTGTGTGTGTGTGTGTGTGTGTGTGTGTAAAGATGCAGGGCTAAGAATCCTGAGGCATCCAGTTCTAACATCTGGATTCCTCTGTGGCACTAGGAGGCAGGAAGGGAATATAAATGTGCCCTAGGACAATGGTGGGATCATAAAAAGGAGGGGTTAAGGTGGGGAAAGAGGACAGTCCAGCGGGACGCCTGTGGCTTCTTTATGAAAACGTACAAAGCCAGGGAAAGTGGGGCCCAAAGGAGGCCTGGGGACACAGGCCATTAGTAGGAGCAGGAGGGTGGGTCATTTTTAAGCATTATGAGACCCACGACCTTAAAGCTGAAGAATCCAAACCTGGCGGTTCTGATTCTATGACTACAAATTTTGGGGCCCCAAAGAAAGGGTGGTCCACCCAGTGGCCATTATGGGTGACTTTCTGTTGCTGACATCCAAGGGACTGTGGTATTCATGGAGGTGAGGATCCTATCCTCTAGCCCATGACTTGCATCCTCTCTTTGTCCTTGTGAAAGGTTCCCAGGAGTCAGCTTGTTCTTGCTGTTAGCTCTGGGATCCTGGAGCGAGGGGGGCCCTCACATCAGCACCCATGAGCTTCTTGAGGTTGCTTTCATAGCCCCCAGTAGTCAGGAGACAAGAGAAGTCCCCCCAGCTCACATAGCAAGGGGCTCCCTTACAGCCGAAGGGCTTATTTGAACCCCCACCCCCACCTCCTCCCAATCCCTTCTTACCGGTGCCCTTTTTGCATGTGAAGGGCAACTGGTAATTGCAAGGGACATCGTTCCATTCGCCCTTCTCATGCCAGATCATCACTACGCAGTCCTCTCCAGTAGCAAAGAAGTTGTCAGGCTGATTGGGACGCCACTTCTCAAATTGCTGTGGGCAGGAGAGGCAAAACAGTAAGGGGGAGGTTGAAGCGGTATGGCTTGGCTTGGCCCCCACTTCCTTCCCAATCAGTTTCCTCCCCTATTCTCTTTTTTCTTTCACCCAGCATCTGGGCTATAAGGCAGCAGCAAGGGCTGCTGGAAATCTGGTCATCTGATCAGGGTCATAGATGCTATGGATCCCAGCTTAGGGAACTGGTTACATAGGCTGACTCTGGTCCTTTTCAGGTACTCACAACCCCCAAGGATTCATTCCCCAGTGGGGAATCCTTAGTCTGCTCATTTCTGACCTGTAAGGCCCTTTTCACTGACCTGTGGCTGCTGTCCATCTGTCCACTTGATCTCTGTGTTTTATGCCTTGAGTACACACTAGCCCTTTGCACATAAGGGAACTCTTTCAAATGTCATCTATTCTTCATCATGGCTTGCTGTCTTCTTCTTCTTCTTTTTTTTTTTTTTTTTTTTGAGACAGGGTTTACTCACAGAGATCCTCCTGCCTCTGCCTCCGGAGTGCTGGGATTAAAGGTGTGAGCCACCAAAGCCCGGCCATTTTTTTTTTTTTTCCTCATGAAGTCCACCCAGCCCCCGGCTGGTCTCCAGAGGCAGAGAGGAAAGAGACACAATCCCTTCCTACAGAGTTCCTGCCTGCCAAGTTATCTATCTGCTCAGTGAGTTTTCGTGAGACCTGAATGCATGCTGTTCTTGGGGTTCTTTATCCCACTTCTTATTCTCTGGCAACTCACCAGGGAGTGTCCATCAGACCAGCGGAAGTCCCCTTCGATAGTCCTGTCATTCAGACCTATCCACTGGTAGTCTTGAGCATTTTCTGGAAAAGGAAGATAGGTTTGCACCTGGTCTTGGTTGCCCTGGGCCGTCTGGGGACTGGAACTCGTGGACAGGGAAGGGTGTGGTGGAAGGAAGCAAATGACTCCCAGGCCCATGCCACTGGCTTCTGAGGACCTTGCAAGGCTTTCAGGACATGCATGTTTGTGGTATATGTTGGAACACCTCCTCAGGCTGGCATAGGCAGGTGATAGCTACAGGGTTAGCCTGGACTGTCTTTGTCTGGCAGGGTCTGTCCTGCGTCGGCTGGGACTGCTGGTCCCAGTGATCTGTATCTTCTCTGAGAAAACTGTGGGAGCATTTGACCCTCTTCTTCTGGCTCCCTGCCCTGCAGCAAGCCCAATCTGCATCCCCTTTGCAGCACACCCCCTTTCTCTATCTCCCTTCCTCTCTCATTGCCTCTCCCTCCCTCCCTCATTCTTTTTCCCTTCCTGCAGCGCTGGACCTTGTAGCTGACCACTGAGCTACAGTCTCAGTCCCCAGTCTGCTCATTTCTGACCCATAAGGCCCTTTGCT